GAGAGAGAGAGAGAGAGAGAGAGAGAGAGAGAGAGAGAGAGAGAGAGAGAGAGAGAGAGAGAGAGAGAAATATGAAATGATTCGATCAGAAATAAATTTTTAACCAAATTGTTCATCAAACATACAATGTTCTTTAAATATTATTATATATAAATATTTTTAATATTTATAACAAAAGGCATTAATTGGAGATAAAAAAATTGCAATAAAATTACAATATTTAAAATTATGCAATATTTAAAATTATGAAATAGAGAGATTTTAGAAACATGCATGCTTGTACATGAGAGCTCAAACATTCATTCAATTTAATTCATTATTTATAACAAAAGGCATTAATTGGAGATAAAAAAATTGCAATAAAATTACAATATTTAAAATTATGCAATATTTAAAATTATGAAATAGAGAGATTTTAGAAACATGCATGCTTGTACATGAGAGCTCAAACATTCATTCAATTTAATTCATTATTTATAACAAAAGGCATTAATTGGAGATAAAAAAATTGCAATAAAATTACAATATTTAAAATTATGCAATATTTAAAATTATGAAATAGAGAGATTTTAGAAACATGCATGCTTGTACATGAGAGCTCAAACATTCATTCAATTTAATTCATTAAATTCTTTTTTGAATGTATTTCTATAAGTATAGAGATGTTCAAGTGATAAAAATTTTGTTTTAATCAACTTGGCAACGCTGCTTAAATGATAAAGCTCCCATTCTCAGTTGAAATGAGCAAACACTCTTTTGTTTAGTGGAGAACTAAACGTGGATGCAGCATGAACAATCGATGTAAAAGCTATTGCGAAATACTTATGTGAACAATTATTTTGATTTATTTAAAAGTAAAGAAGTTATCATTAGTAGCAATACATTCTATTAACAATAATAAAGATTAAAACAATACACGCAATCAAGTTAAAGATGTGACGTAATATGTGATGTGTGTGATGTATTTCTCTTCCAGGGAATTCCCGAGCAGCATTTGCATAGCCTGAATTCATCACGTACTTTATAACTTTCGTAAGTATACATTTTTTAGTACAAAAAATAATGGAAAATAGATATTAATTGCATTTAAGTCTTGATTAGATTTGGTATCATATGACTTCATTTTTTTGCGTATAATTGCTATCGGCAGTATGTATTTTTAAATGATAAGAGGCAAACTTCCTTATTAAAGTGCATTTATTTTTTCAATTTCTACCACACAGATATTGTGAAATGATATTTATTGATTCTGTCTTAAAACTATATATTCTATTTGCACATATACTTTCTCTTCTTTTTGTAGAAAAAAATTTTTCTTATATAATCATAAATATTTAATTACAATTAATTAATTTATATAATTAATTAATATAATTAATTTTGTTGTTATACAATAACTGCATTTTTTATTTTTATAAAAGGTAATAAAATAAATGTAAGAACAAAAATAAGAAGCAATAAAGAAATTCATTAAGCCAATAAAAAAATTATATATGGCATACAGAGTTATTCTGACATTTATATTATACTATAAAAATTGAGTGAAAGATAAACATAACAAAAATAAAAAATAAAAATAAATAAGAAAAAATAAAACAAAAAAAACATTTATAAAATAAATATGGGTAAGTAATGCAATATTCCTTCAATGTGATGATCCATATAAATTATACATTATTATTTTTATAACAGACAATGGAATTCGAACACTGGATATATTTAACAAAATGCAAAACTTTCCACCGTTAGATGTCACAGTACAACGTAACGTCGGTAGAAGTTGGTGTGCGTGGAAACAGAATTTTTTATCTTTTCTGCAGAAAGAAGATGCTAAAGAAATATATAAGAATCAATGGACAGTTATATTGTTAATGTTAATTGGACCGGATGGAAAAAAAATATATAGAAATCTTTTTCAGAACGCTCAACCAAAAGATCTGGGAACAGTATTACTTAAACTAGATATATTCTTTATTTTTGGATTTAAAGAAAAGCAGAAAAGCGAAAGTATCGATCAATATATTGATTGCTTGATGGTAAATTAAAATTTCAAATTTCAAGTATTTTAAATTGAAAATCACTTTTTGTAATGCATATTGTTAAAATGCGATCATAACATGTTGAAATCACAACCCAATAAGTATAGAATTAGTTCTATTTTTATGTATTATATATATTTTGTAGTTAATTATAAAACGGCTGTAGAAATATAATACTAAATTAAAAATAATTTTTTTTATTTAACACTTATTTATATCTCATATTTATTTAGCTAAAACTTTATTTTCCAATTGCTTCATATAATCCAGAAATCATATACATCTTTATAAAAGGATAATAAAGATATTAATTATATTGACAAAAGAATTTATAATTAAAAGGAATGATAATTATTTACTTATGTATATGTTAAAAATGTAAAAAAATTATCTTTGTACTTTTTATTCTTTTTTAATTCATGTTAATATATAAATTTACAAATACGTTTTTTTTTACAGCTTGCTGCCCTAGCAAGCAATCATAGTGATCCTGTGAACATTGTGAAGGAGAAGATTATAAAAGATATTAAAAATTACAATTTCACGGAAAAAGTTTTGATTTTTATGCAATCGAAGGGAGAAGATCTAGAATCGTATTTACAATCGTTGGATCTTGATAAAATTACACTGTTTTGGAAACAATGCGAAAAATTAATATCGCAAAGGAATCACGAAGATACACAAACGCAGTCTTCTTCTGATCTGAATCTTATTGAAAAGGAATGCGTTCGCTGTGGTACTTGTCATAGTAGAAATCATTGTCCAGCTTATGGGTTGCAATGTGACAATTGTAAAGGATACAATCACTTTACGAATAAGTGTAAAGGAAAATATGTGTCTAACTGCACTAAATGTGGAATGAGTCACGTTCAGTCACGTTGTCACGCTTTTGGTCAAACGTGCGAAAAATGTGGTAAGGTGAACCATTTCTCATGGTTGTGTAAAATTCCTGTTGTAAAAAATTGCCTTAGATGTGGCAAAGATCACGCTATATCTATGTGCCCTGCACAAGGACATACATGCTCTCGATGTAACAAACCAAATCACTTTGAGAAAAAATGTTTGAGCAAATGAATGAGGAACAAGAATGATATGCGTCACAAGAACTCTCTTGGAGATCGTAAAAGTGGCAGTAGACAAACTAAATTGTATCCATTTTGATCTCCTTAATTCTTTGAAATATACTTCTTCCTAAGTAAAAGTTAAAAATTCTAATTTTTTAAATATTGATTGAAATATCTTCGAAGATTTTTTAAAATTAAAAAAAAAAAGAAACTGTTTGAAATTAATCAAGCAATATGATCTTTATCTATTTATTCTGTGAAATTATTGTTTCCTAAAAATGTCTTTGACACAAGATCAAATAATTTTTTTTAATGAAGAGAACTTGGTTCTTAAATTTTAATTAGTGTCTTCGAAATATTAATGCTTTCTGTTTATTTTTTATTATATAAAAATTGATTTTAACTTTTTCCGAGAATTTATTCAATTAGTCGTGAGTTATCTTAGATATTGCGATGTAAGTGAACCGACGTTTAATAATATATGCTTTTTATAGCAATAAATTTTTTGTTTTTAAAGCTATCTAAACTATTTCTGTGTCAGATTAATTATTTACTTTTTGATAAGAATTAGTTATAGGAAAAAAATTAATGTTTTCTAATGCAACTATTGTATCTAATGTAATACTAAAGCTTCTTATATGTATTGTTAGATAAAAAAATACAATCTATATAGCTTACATTTCATCATTTGAAAATAGTTTATAAGCAGACATTATAACGTTTAATTAATTATATGTAAAAAAAACGTTTGCATTAAATAACACAATATTTATTAATAAGTTCTAATAGATTTATCTTAATTATAAATATTTCTTATATTCTTATATTCTTTTTCTCTATGATTTTAAAATATTTTTTTCTTTAATTATTGAATTTGACTTTATAAATTTTGCATCTAACAATTTATATTTATATGTTATGTTATTTGTTAATTTTTTATTACAATATATAAATAAACTAATAAGTAAACTACTTTCATAAATAATTAATAATCGATATGTTATATGACTAATTAAATATGTAAACAGTGAAGAAAGATTCTTCAAAATAAATTGGATATTTTTTTTCATAAATATACAATATTTTATTTTTGCGTATATATTATATATGTTAATACTATTATGCAATATTTCTTGTATTGATCGTAAAATTATTCTCGGTAAAAAATTTTTCATACATAAATATATATAATTATTTATTAATAATATATACAGGGTGTATCTAAAATAACATCCACTAATACACATATAGTGCTATTTCTAATTAAAAAACTGAATCGAAAGTCTTCTATCACTTTATAATTTTTGCAATATTTTTTTTTAGTCACCCAATGAGCAAAATGTCTAAAATCGACGTATAAGACAACTTTAAGATATCTTTGAGAGTTCTTTAAAAAACATCTTCAAGATATTTGACAAAGAACACTGTTAAAGATATTTTAAAATTGTCTTATACAAATTTTATTCCTTTATTTGGCAATCTTTAGAAATTAGTATCTTGTCAACTATTGTAAAAATTGCAAAATGGTAGAGGACTTTTTGACTCAGTTTTTTATTATGAATAACACTGTATGGATATTAATTCAGATACACTCAATATAAACATGCATAATCATATGTGAAATAAGTCCATTACATTATACATGTTTCATACATCTACCTTTTCTTTCATAAAATTATTTTTTAGTGTAATAAAAATAATAATAATAATATGAAAACATTAAAAATAATTAAAAGGATAATTTTCACACTTTGTTTTAGAAAAAAATCAAGTTTGAAAAAATATGAAAAAATTATTTGTATAATTATATATGTATAAAATTATGCATAATTGTGTATGAGCAATTTTTTTTACATTTTTCTAAATTTGTTTTTTTCTGAAACAAACAATGCAAAAATTATCTCTTTAATTACTTTTGTTATGTTTTCACATTACTATTATTATTTCTACACTAAAAAGTATTTTACACTAAAAAGTAATTTTACAAAAGAAAGAGAGAGGTATGTATGAACATGTATGGACATATCATATATGATTATACATTTATGAATATTTATATATGTTTATACATACAATATAATATATATATATTTACATTCATGTATAAACAATTTTTTACCGAATTATATTAGGTGTTGGAATTAATTCGTAGCGTTTTACAAGTGATGGGAAGTACTTTCATTAATGTATTTTTTAATGCTCATGTGAAATAAATAACATTCTTTCATTAAAAAACGCTACGAATTAATTCCAACACCTAATATTATTTCTCATATTTTTATTAAAAAGAATAAATTTTGTACGAATGAATTTATTTTAAATTTATGTGTATTATTATATGTAAAACTCATAAAGGAAGAGAAATAAAGGAGGAATGCAAAAACAGTATAAAAAATTTTAATAATCATGATTAAGTTTATCTGTCAATATGTTAGCTTTTGCTAATTAAACGAAAACATTTAATTACCAAACAAAAACACATTTATTGCAAACAAAAAAATTAAATCTTTAATTAATATTTAAAAAATATATTAGGTGTTGGAATTAATTCGTAGCGTTTTTAATGAAAGAATGTTATTTATTTCACATGAGCATTAAAAAATACATTAATGAAAGTACTTCCCATCACTTGTAAAACGCTACGAATTAATTCCAACACCTAATATATTGTTTTTATACCTTCATCGCTATAGTCATTTTACGAAATGAGAACAAAATGGCACTGAATTTTCTGAATGCAGTCGTTTATTGATCATTTTGCGTCTGGCAGCAGTAAATAGTCATTCGAACCATAGACGTAGTGTGAATTGATCAAACAAGCTGACATGTGAAATTGATCACGGCAATGCTCACTAGAGAAAGTAATGCTAAACGAGAAGAACAAATCTTGGCGGTCGTTCTAGAGAGACTCAAAGGGAGAGAGTAGCAACCTAGCAACTGCATCACGTGACCCGTTACCTCTAATTGGACGCGAGCATCAAAGCTCCATAAGCATGAAAGAGATTGGAAAAAACTGATATCCCCGTTCTGATTGAACACGTGATGCAATTGCCACTCTCTCCCTTTGAGCTCTCTCTTTTAAGCCGATATCCATATATAATCGATTTTTAAGGTGCCTTTTTACGCTCAACGCTCACTTTTAGCGTCAAAACAGATCACATGCATCTTAAAGGATCAGGAGACACGGTAGTGTTTCAGTGCTAAGTATCGTTTATACTGGTCGTAATCTGTACGAATTGACCAATCATAGTCGATTATTCTCCTCTCATTCGATTATGATTGGTCAATTCTTACAGATTACAGTATAAATAATACTTAATTAAGATATTATTTAAGACGTGTTAATAAGAACAGACTATGAATACACTCTGATCTTATTTCTCTTTCTTCAATCGAAGAGAGAAAGACGAGTATAAAGTCTCAAATATCTCTTTCTCTCTATACATCTCTGTCAGCTCTTGTGTCCGTTCTCAACTTACGTTACGTCCGTGACTGAAGTGATCGCATTGGCTGTGTTTTCCGAACGCATTCCCAGTCTCCGTGCTGTCTGTCACCTGACATACTACGCATCGTGCTTACGCCAAAGGTGGGGGCAGCTTGGCCTAGCGCAGTGAATAACAAGCAAAGAGAGCATAGCAGTTACTACTTACTTGCGATCATCAGTGGTTCTCGCAGCAATTCCACGAACCCCACAGTCGACGGTGAATCGCAGCCGGACAGTGGACTTCAAACATTGTTGCCGAGACGGCTTCCTTGGTTCCAATTTACCTGTCACGAGCACGACGATCGATACACCGATCTCGCGGCCACGCTCCAGCTATGCGCCTGTTCCGGCCAATGTTTATGGTCATCGTTCACATCGACTGACAGCTGTCAATTCCTTGTTCGGATCATCAGAGTCATCAGAGTGAGTCATCGGATCGGCATCGGAGGACCATCTCAGGTGATCCCTCGATTATCTCGTTTCCGATTATTACGGATTTTACTACCTGCGCATGTTGCGTCTTCCTTTTCTTTTTATTTTTTTTTCTTTCTCTTTTTGTGTTCTTTCGTTTCTCTCCTCATAATTTCGTTTTTCAAAAATACTGTCCTCTCGACTTCTCCTCCTCTCCCTTTTTCTCAGACGAGAGTCCCACGAGACAGTAGCATAGATCGAGTGCTATTAAACTTCACGGACACCCGCACGGAACGAGACCAAGCCCTCCCGCAGGTATCGCGCACGTCACAACCTACCCTTTGTTCAGATGTCCAGGTATTTTTTGTAAGGACACATTTTTTTTCGTCTTTGCACGACACGCACATTCTTACGGCGGGTAGTGCTGCTTATGTCCTGCGAGCGCGCGATGAATACGCGTTACAAGCTGGAGTTTTGCATTGCAGCGATATTACCGGCATGGCGTCTAGTTCCGTCAGCCAGGAAGACTTCGACAACGATTTCGAGTTAACGTCCAGGAGATCCAGGATCAGGACTGCTAGGGCCAGGGTGGGTCCGGCGAGGACAGGAGATGTATCTTCCATAAGCTTTCAAAGTACGTGTTGCGGAAGTATCTACGAACATGCGATTTAAGATTTTTGATAATCTGCTTGTTTAAACTTGAACAAATTTTAAACATATATATAATGCATGATAAACAATAAATCTAAATCTAATAAACGTTTTTATTTGATTTAAATATATATATTTTTTAAAGGTACTAGAGGGTTTGCGGGTTATCGTGTCGTGATCCATTGCTAATTCAATTAGCAATGGATCACGACATCGCGATAACTCGCAAACCCTCTGACATCTTTGAATAATAATAAATACTTGTGAAAGCCTCAAAAGTATATATATATATATTTTTTTTTTATTTATTTATTTATAAATAAATATGTGTGTATGCGCGCGCGCGTATGCGCGTGTATGTATATGTGTGAATTTTTGCAAACTTTTAAATTATGTATCTAAAAATTAAACAAAAAAGGACCTGTTCTTAATACATATTTAATATTAAGAAAATAT